GGGGGTTGCGGTTGTTTTTTCAGAGGGGTACGGAGGGATAGAGATGTACCTTTTCGCTCGCCACCGCGACAGCGCTAGGCAACTTGTTTACCGGTACCGGTACCTTCCTTCTGTTTTCCAGCGAATATTATCGTAACACGCGTACACCAAGGAAGTTATACCTTACACAACTGACAGTTGTGTAAGGTCCTTGGCGGACACGCTGAAATATGTACTAACTGTTGTAGGTGGTTGCCGGGTGCTCTGGTGTGAGTTGCTCCTTCTTTCCTTTCAAACATCTATCGTCTATATTCTCCCCTCCCCCTTTTTTTGCGTTTGTTACTCTCTTGTAGCATCTCTTACCTTTGGCACGTATACGACTTTATTATGTAGCAAGTGCCGTAAAATTCTCACGAAAAAATCTTATATGACCTTATTATGTTGCATATGCCGTAAAACTTGTACTGAAAGTAAATGGAACGAAAAACGCTTTTGTTGCCATTTTTTAAATTTGTGTTATATTTATAGTCTTTTATGAATTCGTTTGCACACAAATGCGCGTGCTGGTATAATAATAATTTATAATATAATAATATGCTCACTGACAAGAAACACTCGCATATTCAAGCCGCCACTTCACACAAACATCAACCAAAGAATTCAATATACGAATAAACCAAACATGCGAAGGGCAAAATTAAGATTTGTTTTAGTTTAGTAGTTTTAGTAGAGGTTTTACGGCGCTCGCAACTGCGTAAGGTCATATTATGAGCGCTAGAAGATTAGAGGTGTTACAAGAGAGTAACAGATATAAAAAAGAAAAAGGGCAGATAGGGATGATAGATATTCGATAGGAAAGAAGGAGCAAACCACACCTGAGCACCCGCCAACCACCCACAATAGATCTGTATCAAGTGCCAAGGGACATTCCTATAAAGAGTGACCACCTGTGTGTTTTATTGCAGGCACATCTCAACATGTTTCACTTATATTTTCAAACCTTTCTTCTGTTCTGTCTCTTCACAAAAAAATAACTCTATATCACCCGCCTAATCACACATACTCTCTCTCTCTCTCTCTCTCTCTCTCT